CCCCCCCGCGCCCGCGCTGCTTTTCTATGTACTCGGGACGAATATGCACCGAAATCTGTCGCATAAGTACAGTTTCCTGTGCGAACGTGTGGGAAGGGAAGGCCGCCGTCGTCGTCGTCACCACGGCGTCGGCGGCGGGGATCGTTGGCCCAGATGGCTAATGGGATTAGTGAGTAGCGGGTCCTGCTTGCGACCTGTCACCGTGGGGAGGGGGAGGGGGGGCAATAGAGATCGGGTCCGACAATGATACACAAAGCTGTCGCGAGAGCCCTCCCTTCTCAGTAGCTCGACTTCCGTGCGCGTTAGATCATCGCGCGTTTGTACTTCCGGTCTCCACTAACGGCTTTGTTCTGTGTCTCCCCCGCAGCTCGGCGGCGGCGCCATGGAGTGCTCGGACGGCGCCAAGTCCAAGGGCAGGACGGGCTGGCCGGAGCACGTCTGGGCCCTGGAGCTGAAGCAGGAGCAGGTGTAGGGCTCAGCGCCCGCACCAGCAGCACATCGCAGCGGGACCTCCTCGAGCGCTGCAGCGACCATGGTCGCGTGGCCGACGACTGCACGGCCAGGGAACATCACCTCGGTCGGCCCCGCAGCTCTGCCGTCTCCGGACGAGTGACCGCAGTGACCACGAGCAGGATGGACCAGCCGGAACAGAAACTCTTGTCCCCCCCCCCCTACCCCATTCCTCCCTGCCCCCACCCGGCCCCGTGTGACTTCTCGATGTCGCAATTGTATGTAATTACTTCAGATCATTCTGTGTCGATTTAAATAACCTGAGCTTTAATCTAGAGTTAGTTTCAATTTTGGTACCTAAGTAAAGGTAGGAAGCTTAGTAGCTTAGCCCTTTTTTCACTCACTGATGAGAAATAGTTGAGATTCTTGAGTCCTGCGTAAATATTTAGCAAAAACCAAAGATTAAAGTGGCATTTTTTTTTTCAAAAAAATGTTCTGCGCAATAATGTATATAGAAAATAACTGCAAAAACCCACCTTGACTGTTGCTCTTTGTCTTCTACATTTTAATGTTGCCCAAAGAGGATTTTTTTTCTAGAACTTTGTACATTTGTGTCAAAAAATTGTGGTGTTTGTGGTTTATTCGAATAAAGGATCGCACTTACTGTGATGTTCTCTTATGAAAGTGTGTGTGTGCGTGTGTGGTATTGGAATGATATGTCGTGCGTATGTTAGTTTTAGTTAGCGCATTAATGATCCCGTTGGGTTTCTTGTTATCTTTATTTTAAATTGAGAATTTATTGGCACCATGTTGTTTTTCTTTTCAATAAGGAATAAAAAAATTGAGTTTCAATTTCTATTATTCCTAATCTGGTTTTCTCCATCCCTCTCGCATCCCCACCACACATTACACTAGGCCTACATCTATAAATACTTGTTCTCTGAGCAATCATGAAATTTCATTGATATAGAAAGAGCCGTGTTCAACAGAGAACGGAAAAAGTTCCCCTGGACACATCTAATTATCTAAAAAGATCAGCTTTTTCTTAGAGCTGTACTTTTGTAAAAAAAAAATTATCCCATATTGTTAATATTGTCATTTTTTAAAAGTTTTGAGGTAATGCGCATAAAGGTACTCTATGCAGATCTCTTTATTCGTTAGGTCAAAAGGGTCCCTCGTTTTGACGTCTTTTTGCACTCATCCTGATGTTATTGTGACTCAAAAGCCAAACATTGGTCCCGGTCTTCCCTCGCACACTTCCTCCCTCTTCATATATCTGCCGCTATCATCTGTATTCCTACCCGCAGCATTCTCAGAATCATCGACACAACACAAGAAGTATGAAAAATTTTCCGGTCAGTAACAACTAAACAACAACCTTATTGACCCTTTTTTAGGGCTCTTGATTTTAATTTTTAAACTTTTTTATTCTAACAGCATGAATGGCAGGGTTCGGGGTGTTCTGTGTTGCGTGTGTGTTAATTTATTACTTCGTTGCATTGTAAGTTTTGTTAAGCCTCGTTTCATGTTGTACTGTATTATGAAATGTTAAGAACTGAAGGTTAAGTCTCTTGGAACGTTTGTTTTGGTTGATCCCATTAGCGTCAGGGGAGGCATTTTGCTCTATTTAATCCATCAGTAGCATACAACTATGAAAATGTCACTAATTCAATCCATCTATAACTCTCTGTCCCATATCTTTCATTATTACACATTTAAACTTGTCGTTAAGATCTATGTCAGTACTTGACAGATATCATCAGAGATACATTTTCTGCTGCTGTTTGAATTTATTAGTTTTCCTCATCCATTTGCAGAATTTTACCAAAAATCCTTGCTTGGTTATGTAAGCAACGATTCAGAATAGATGTTCAAATAGGAAAGATATCTTTTTTCTATTTGCGACTTCAGGATGTGGTCATCAAGAGAAATGAGTTTTCTGTGGTGAGTACATTTAGTTTAAGGGCTGTTGCTTTTTTACTTCGACCTGTCCTTGTAATCTGTGGTTTTTTGAAAATTGAAATTTACAGCACATAGAGGAAGTCAGCTTTCGAAGCAACTTTTTTAGCAGTGAAGTAACCAAATTACTAGCAGTAGTCTTACGAGATGTTCGTATTAATAAGGATGTCGGCAATTACAGTGAGGGTAGCAGGCCTATCCGCCATTTGCCAGATGATTGGTCGCACATTGATTTTCGCAACAAAAAGATTCCACCCTCCATAATTACTTTTGCTCAGGTTTGGTCCTTTGCTATTATTTTTACCCATATTTCTTGTGGTTGAAGAGGCAATTTTAAAGCTATCATGTTTTATTGACATTTTTCAGTTTATGGCTGTTCACATTACGAACTTCAATGCAATGTTGCTACACCAACAGTCACCAGAGTGGCTTGTTCATGCCACTGCAGCAGAGGTCCATCTGGATGGTAGTGTCGTTCATAGTGCGAGGTCTCTCCTAGTTAATGTGGTGCTTGTAAATGCAGCAGCCAAATTGTTGAGACACGCCTCCCAAGAAAGCAACTTACCTCCATCGCAAACATGTCTGGGTGAATTATCTTTTGGTGTTTCATTTGAAGCTATGATGGCTGCTCAAGGATCACTCTCTGTTGAGGTAATTGACCTATTTTTAAATTATTTTATTTAAAGATTAATATACTGTAACAATACTCAATTTACAGAAACTTCATGTCAATTTAGAACATCTAAAAGCTGTAATAAATGATGGTTTATATACATTTGCTGCCCAACGGAAAGAACAAGAGGGCCATAGAAAACGAGAACGTAGTCAAAAAGATTATAAAAAGAGCAAAGACAAAAAGAGTTCCAGGCATGATCTGGTTTCAACCACTCACCCCCAGTTATATAGTCCGTCAATGATTCTCTCCACTCTTTCTCCTCTGATTCCAAAAGAAATGACACTGAAATTAGAATATTCTCTTCTCACTGGTATGAGAGCTGCAAGCAGTACTGAATTTCGAGCGTCTTTACACAGTCTCCTAGTCCAAACAAGTTTTGTTTTAAAACTGGCAGGTATGTTACAAGTAACACCCAAGTTTAGATTATGAAGTCAATCTTGTTTTCACTATTATTAAATTTTTACAAATATTTCTCTGCATAGGAATTCATGGTGAATCAATTATACCTGAAATATCTGTTGGACTCCAACTAGATGAATTGGATGTGCGTGATGAGAGAGAGAAAGTTTTCCTTCTCCAGAAATTAACATTTAAATCAGGGGTATGTTTTTGTTTGCATTTTCCATGCATGACTTCACGCTTTGCTGTACATTTAAAAGTGGAACTGTAAAAATTTTGTTGTTGATTGATCATATTGCCTTATGCATTCACTCTCCATGATTTTTATTTTGCCAATAGCTGGAAGGCAAGCTGTTGAAGGTAAATCTTCGACTGAATACTCTGTCAGGCACTTACAATCACCGAGCTGTACACTCCTGGGTGTCCATGAATTTCCTTCGCACTGCGCACTCCTTGCACTCTTCATATTCCACTCACACTTCTAATGACTCTCATCCTGTGAATTCATATCCAAGGGTAAGATAATTTAATTATTAATCTTGATGAAGCTCTTTATCTGGGCTTTGAAAGTCCATGATTCATTGTGTTTACTAATTTCTCAGGAAATGGAGGTTGAAGCACAAGACCTTTCAAAAAAAAATGCTAGTCACAGTTGGATTTATGAAATACTAAGTGGATGCAAAGTGTCTGGCAGTTTGGAATTGTTTGATGTCTCAGCCCGATTACGAATGTCAAGTTCTGAAGGGAGTGCCTGCATTGGATGTAATCATATCCGCTTAGGACTTGATCAGGTCCTCAACTCACATGGTCAGTAAAAAATACAAATCGTCTTCAGGAATTTAAATCCCTCCATCTACACATATTATTTTTTTCTTATCTATTATTAAGGCATGGTTTTATTTATACCAGGTTCTACCTCTAACTACAATCCAGAGGACTGGTCCGGTGAACTTCTGGTTGAGGCATTGTGGTGTCGCCTTGGTTTATCAAGAGTTGATTCTGATGTAGATATTTATCAAAGACGACGTTGTCATGTGTGGGGCACACCTCTCTTTCTTGGTGTTATGCTTCTTAACATCCGAGGTCGAGCTGGAAACTTCTACCCTTATAAACTAGAAGGAATGCTGGATATGTTATGTGCAGAATGGAGTCCTCAACTGGCTGCTTTTATCATTCATGCTCAGAAGTATGGCTATCTTCAATACTTGCCTTAGTAAACTAGTACATATTTGCTGTGCTAAGTTTTATTCCCATAATTTTAAAAAAATATTTGTCTAATCTTCATCTGCAGGTGTTACAATGACTATAAGCAAAAGAGAGTGGGTACTCAACAACTCAAGACTAATTCCCAGTTTTTGCCATGGATCAGCACATGTACTGTGAATGCTAATATAACAAATTCCAACATATTTTTCATTACAGATCCTCAAGGTATGGATTTTTACCCTCACTTGACTTTATGGATCACTTATTACCTATCTATGCTATTTTTTTTTTTTTTATTAATATTAATGCTATATTATGTTTCTGTAGTAGGTGTAATGGCACGTTTAGACTCCATCTTAATGGAGAGAAATGAAGAAAAATTAGTTCTGACATTTGAGGGTTGTAAAGCTGTATCGCTGGCCCCCTCGGGAAGCCCATACAACTGCCTGAAGTCAGAAGCAGTAAAAGTCAGTAAAATAATAATAATTATATTTACAGTGACCCTGTTCTATACTGGAGATGTAAGTTTGGTAATTTTGCTCCCAAGATATAAGAAAAATTGACATTTTTTTCAGATATCATGTGCCCACATCCAACAAGCAAGAATACAATACCGAAACAAAGGTGTTGCTATACAGTTATTAGAGGATGTTTTTGCTATGTGGAGTACAAATCTTCATCTGAGACTGCTTGCAGTGGGTGAAGATCTAAATCAGTTTTTTTCCCAGTTGATTGGTAAGTATAGTTGTTATTCCAGTTCAACTCTAATGGAATCTTTAAATTAATCTTTTCTTGTTTTTCTCCTTTTAGACAAGCCTCGTTCCACTTCCTTAGAGGAAGGAAAGGATAAGGGCAGTGTTTGGAATGTTCTAGACCAATTGAAAATCCTTGCTCCTGGGCAGGTTAAATTAGGTGTCCATTTATCTGAAAACCATAGTATGCTTGTGACTTCTGGGGATTTATCCTTTCAAATCAGCTCCCAAAATAAGGGGTTCACTGCCAGCTCCATTATCATCACTATTGATGGTCATGACATTTTCCACATTGATAACATTTCCATAGAAACTCTCCTTGACCATGAGGAAGTACAACTTGAGCGACAGAATACAGAAGGTTTCCAGCTTTTAAGGAATAAAACAAGGTTGGTACTTATTCTGTATCTGATACTGTATCTTCAAACTCTTTGTCTGAGCTATGAATTGATTTTTAGGGCGACAACTATTTCCTCATTCCGTGCCATATTCCCTTATGAACACAATTTTGCTGATGCTGTCCGAAAAGAACTAGTCAGCATTATAAAGTGGGTGAGAATGATTCACTATCGCCAGAAACCTCCTTTCACCTCCAAAAGCCCTCTTCCAGCAGATATGGTTATAAAGGTATGACCCAATACTCAATTTACCTGCTTTTACCGGGAGAAATTTCACCCTCTTTATATCCAGCTCAGTGAAATTTTCATTATTATTTTTGTTTGATAACTCATTAAATACTTAAATATACAGGTGAAAGAGTTTTTGTTTGAAATGACTGATGATCCTTTTGAGGTAAAACTGAGAGACAATTTTGAACTCCTAGAAGATGAATACAAAGAAAGTTTAAAGAGACAAAAGATGCTGGATGCAAAGGTAAATAAAAAAAAACTCAAATAATACCATTAACCCAATCTATTGAATCAAATTACATTTGCAGAGTTAATGATTACCTTTTTTCCTGAACTCTGTAGGTCCAGGAACTTTGTAAAGAGCACCTTCTAATGCCAGCTGGAAAAGTTGATGAGCTCTACTCATCTCTAAACATGAAAAATGCTGAAATTTACATACAGCGCTCTAAGCAAATGAACCAGACACCTCCCCGAACCAGATTATTTGCTTGGCTCATGTCTGATTTAGAAATCATGGCCCTAGCTGATCCTTCCATCCACGGAGCTGAAAATGTTGTGAAGAACATGACAGAAATCGATCCAGACAGCCCATGGCCTGAGGAAGGACTGGAATTCTCTACTTTGTGGTGTCGCTCTGTATCAGCTTGTTGTAGAGAATGGAAGTTTCAGTTACGAGATTTTCCCCAACCCCTATTGCATATTCAAGAATTAAGTATTTGGGGCAGGTTGGTGGGAGCAGAACAGGTAGCTCCTAAAAGAGCAAAGCGAGGAGTCACCATTGATTTAGGAGATCCATGGGGAAAAGTGCAAGTTGATCGGAGTATGACATCTTTGAAATTTTACCATGACTTCAACTGTGATGTTGAAACATTTAGTTATGCTTTTGGACCATGCTGGGAGCCAGTTATTGCTCAGTGCAATCTTAGTTTTAGTCAAATTTCTCCCCCTTCATTAGACCCTAGCCCAACTCTCCCCTTTTGGGACAAAATGAGACTTCTTTTCCATGGTCGACTTACCATGGTTACAAGAACACTGACAGTGCTTCTTCATGCTTCTCTAGATCCCTACAATACAACAGAAGAAATGGAATTAACCTGGAGAGATGTTGCACTAGACTGGACTAATGGTAAGTGTAGATAATCAAAAAAATTTCTTTTAATCAAAATCTAAACAAAGTGATTGCTTTGAAAATTTGTTTTTCTATCTTAATCTAAATTTTTTATTCCTTTTCTAGCTAAAGTTGTCTTAAAGGGCTCTCTGCATGTGTACGTGCGAACTGCTTCAAAGTATGATGATTGTCGGCTTCTATATTTACCTGATTTGCGCCTCACCATTAAGCTAGGCTGGGTTTGCTTAGCTGACCCGAATGACCATCACTCTGTAATGCCCTGTGCTCCTGATAAGCTTCCAGAATATTCAAGCAACCAGGTACATTAACTGTACAATTGAAATTAAAGATTTGGGACTGTAATTGTTTTTCTTAATTTTTCCAATATTTACATGTTGTTTTTTTCTGTATCCAAAGGAACATGATTCATTTAGAGCATTCCGTTCTCAAAATCTGAATGTGAGTATCTCAATGGAGACTAAACAAAACACAAATGCACCCCCAAAAGAAGACCCAAATATTGTTCTGCATGGAAGCACACTTAGGTAAGATGAATATTTGAAACTTTAAGGTATTGCTTTGTTAATTGTTGCCAATGATGTTATGTGGAAATTGTTTCAGATGGTTTGAGAGCTTAAAACTCATTCTCTCAGGTGTAACAAGACCTACACGCCGGGGAGCGTTGTTTAATAATTGTCGGTCAAAAAAAAGGCAACTTAGCCGACATTACCGTAAGGTTCACTTGTCTTTAGTTTTGCACTGTTTCCATGTCAGGTATTGGATGTCGTCATCAATGCAGCGAGGCTTTGAAGTTTTGGGAGGTCGAGTTACATGTAGCTCAGGTCAGTTCATTCTTAAATATACAAATACCAAAACTATATTTAGTTTTGTGAATACATACTGTTTTATCCAAGTTTGGACTGATTCCCCACTTACTATCTAAACAGAGCATACCCTTTCTCTGGTTCCAATTGATGATGGTTTAAAACATCGTCCAAGATCAGAATGGTCTGTTATGTACATGAATTGTGAATCGAATGATGCAGAAATCTGGCTTAAGAGTGCTCTGCTGAATGATGAAAGCAAAGAGGTAGGATCTAATCTCTATGTTCTTTCATTTATAAAGATTTATGAGACTAATTTCAGAATACATATTGACAGCATATATTCAACCAATCGCCTGTAGAGAAATGCTATTTCTTAAGTGTATCCAAAGTTTCATATGGGAGGGAGGCTGTATTGCCCCATAATGCTGAACAACCCGTTGACACACCTACGCACAGATTGGTTGTGCATGGATTGAAGGGTGCTTGGACAAAGAGTAACAGAGATATAGCCTTTGCGCTGTTTGACACATTTGTGAAAAACAAAGTAAGTGTAACATCTTTACTACATATTTCACAGGTTCTCTGCTATAATTATTAGTCAGTTTTAATCATTTATAATTTTTACAGCAACTAAAAAAAAATCTATCTACTGAGGCTCTGAAAGGTTTCCGGTCAGAGAACACAACAACTCCTCTAAAAACAAGAGGACGACCCTCAGATGGACAACTTACTCCTCCATCAAATACTACTCTCCAGGTAAAATGAATGGCGTCATTTGACCACCCTTAAACTAATCATATAAATTGTACTATAAAAAGTTTATTTTGCCTCCACTAGGCGGCTGGTATCCAAGCAACACCTTCACCCATGACTAAAATCCAATCTGGTCATGCAGCAAGTATGTTGCAGCAGCTTATTGCTGAAGCTGATAAGAAATCAGTTGTTTTTAGTGATGACCTCTCAACTCAAACTCGTGATCAGAGCCTCCAAGGTGTCACAGCTTGTCAAGAAGATGATGTAGTGCACAAAAATTGGCTAAGTTAGTCTATAATTTTTGTAATCGATTAAAATTTAAAATTTTCTAAATGAGTGTACCCAAATGTAAAAAACTGATTGCTCCTTTTCGTTTTTCAGTCGCTCTTGTGAATAGCCAAGTTCTAATGAAAGGATGTGAGACAAAAGGTTACGTCATTATAAGTGCTGCCAAAGCTGAAGTCTTAAAGAGAATTCATAGGCCTGCGTGGAGAGATCACACATTAGTATCTAAAACAACATGGGTTGGGTCATTGGAATGTATGCAGTACTATGCAACTGTGAGTGCTGGAGAAAACGATTCAATAGATGGTAAAAGGAAAATTTATTTTCAATCTAATAATTAATATTACCTAGTTTTAAACTTCTAATTCTTTTAATTATGTTTCTAGAAAATATAATGTGGCTCTCAGTTGAAAATATACAAGAAAAAGATTCTAAAGTGATTGCAGACTTACCAGACTTGCCTCACATAGTAGGCAGTGGACAGTCTGTAGGAGGAGTTGTCAGTGAGACAGTTGGTGGCAGCAGCACTGGTGACAATCCAGCTGTACAATTGCAGCGTATTGTGTCTCGGTGTAACTGTGAATTTTTCTATGTTGGTTATGGTGATAGTAGTATTGACCCTAGTACTCTTGGAGAGGCCCAAGTACCACCAATCCCTATAGATGAGGGGGCACCTTGGGAGAGAAGAGAAAGAGCAGTTGATGCATTCACTCTCATGCACCATGACCTAAATGTTAGCACCAACTCCCTGCAGTATGCTATGCTTTTGGACATCATTAATAATCTATTACTTTATGTCGAACCACACCGCAAAGAGCGACTGGATCGTCTTCAACGTCTGAGGTTCCAGTTGCAGTTACTTAGCAGGCAGGAAGACGAGCGCAAGCCAATTCAACAGCTTCAAAATTATGTCCGAAGTCTTGTCTCTAAACTACGACGCCTGGAGAAGGAGACGTATCTCCTTCAAAGAGCTGTGGTGGAGGAACCAGAAAATGCTAATTTTTTGGTTCAGAAGCGAGAGCTAGAAGAGGCAGTATATGATTGCAAAGAAAATCTAGCGGCAGAGAGTGAAGAGCTTGATATGATGTTGTCATGTTACAAGGAAAGACAACTTTCAGCTACCCAGAAGGTAGCCACATCTAGAAATGACAAACCAATCACAGCTGTTAGAGCTTCTGAGATTAGCTTTAAGCATGCTAAGTGGCAACTAACTGACAGTGATGGACAACTTGGTATTGCTGATCTAATTCTCAGTAACTTTTTGTGAGTTTCATTTAAAGTTTTTCTTCAGGCGGGAGGTGAAAAAGATGTAATGAAGATAAATTAAGTATATTAATAATATTTCTTCTCTTTTTTTGTGTTTTGAAATAGGTACACCAAACAATCAAAAAGTGATGACTCTGTTGAGCACTTACTGGAACTGGGATATATTAGTGTTGAAAATCTATTACCAAATGAAACCTACAAAGAAGTTCTAGTTCCAACGGAGAGTCCTAATATAATGCCAGTTGACCGAAAGGCAAGCAGTACACCCACTAAATTCTCTTAAGATTAATCTGTTCCATCTGATCATGCAAATTTGTGTTTACAGAGAGCTTTAAGAGTATTTTGCCGAGAGAAAGCTCCAGTTGCTGGTATATCAATAATGGAGCATTTTGAAATAAATGTTGTTCCTATAACCATTGGTGGGTTTTTCTAAAAACATTGTTCTTTGAAAATAACAAACTACTTTTC